TTAGTAGAGACGGGGTTTCACCATGTTGACCAGGATGGTCTCGATCTCTTGACCTCATGATCCACCCGCCTCGGCCTCCCAAAGTGCTGGGATTACAGGCTTGAGCCACCGCGCCCGGCTACCTGGCTGATTTTTATATTTTTAGTTAAGACAGGGTTTCACCATGTTGGCCAGGCTGGTCTCAAACTCCTGGCCTCAAGTGATCTACCCGCATCAGCCTCTCAAAATGCTGGGATTATAGGTGTGAGCCACCACTCCTGGCTCGTGTCTCTCTCTTATGTCTCTGGTCTCTGCCTGTCTCCCTCTCTCTGTGTCTCTCATTTCTGTTACTCTCCTGTTTTAGTTGGACTCCTCATATTTGTTTTAATTTTTTTCCACACAAGGTGTGGGTCCCCAGGTGCCACAGATGTGTCCTCAGAGGTAAATTCTCAAGTTTGAAGGAGAACCCCTTCTTGGGGCTTGGTAAATCACCGAGCCTCAGGGACGCTGGATGTGGCCGCCACCTGGTGGCCGTGATGGGAGGTACGGCGTTGGTGGCCTGATTGGTGCTGGTGGTGGGCGTGAGCCTTCCTGGATGTCTGCCGCAGGCGCAGGGAGGCGTGTTCTTTTCACTGTGTCATCACAGGGCTTGTGCTCTAGCTGGTGGTAAGCTCTCCCACTAACTCGGGAGATGAGAGGAACTGGGGTTGTGGAGAGTGCCTGGGACTAGACCAAGTGTGTGTGTGTGTGTGTGTGTGTGTGTGTTTATGAGTGTGAGGCCTTGTCTCTCATGGGTCGACTGCCTCCTCTACTTCAAAGTTCTTTTGGGACTTTCCAGCCACTCACTAATGAAATGTTTAATATCCCACCTATTTTACAGAGTAAGAACATGAGGCTCAGGGAGGTGAACTGACTTGCCCAAGGTCAGCAGCTTAGAACAGAAAATCAATCTGAGGGCTGTTGGACCTCAAAGCCAGTGCTATTCTACCCTCAACATTGCTCTACTTGGGGAGAGATAAGGAAGGGGGGTGGAAGGATACTCACAGTCTCCAGGCCACCATTTGGTGGCAGTCAGCGTGGGGCTGTGTATCACAAACTCCTGGGTGGCTGCGTCATAGGTGGCTTCAGTCTCCAGGCCCTGAAGGAATGTCCCTTAGGATCAAGGAGGGCTGTTAGACATTGGCCCCAGGTGAGGTTCTTACCTGGGAAACTGCTTGCAGGTGGGCCTGAATCTTAGGCATCAGCAAAGTATGGAGTGGGGCTCAGCTCCCAGCTGTACTTACAGGCAGTTCTCGCCTTTCATCTGCGGGCTGTGTGTGGGACACACAGTCCCCTCTAGCCAGTCTATGACAAGGGATGGGTGCTGATGTTTCTGGAAGGAATGACTTGCCCCACAGGCAGCTCATACAATATGTGCAAATTAGAAGGCAGCACCCCTTCCTCAAGCCCCTTGACTGCCATCTGCTGAAATGTTTTTCATAGGAAGCATATGTTCCTCGGAGTATAGGAACCTATGGCTACTGAGATGTGAATGGGCCCTCTGGAGTTTTGCAGTGCACAACCTACACACCACATGCAGCAGTCCTGGCTCACCATGTCCCAACTCTGTCTGAGCATATGTTGCGATGATCTGGTTGTTTTTGCAGAGTGGGTCCCATTTGGCAATCTGCTCCTCTGTGCCCAGACTCCTGAGGGCTTTCAGGAAGACTCTGTGTATATTTAAGGCCACGTCTCCAGAAAGGGCTCTGTTGGGGCGAGATGCTGTAGTTGAGTAGCCTATTGGAGACAGGGGCCCAGGTACACACTGCCTGAGCAGAGTAAAAGAGATAAGGGACACCTCCCTCCTGGTTTCCTAGTAAGTCTTCCCTTTGTTGGGAAAAATGGCTCATGGGGCTGGGGGGTTTCCAGGTGATCCCAGGTATATCCTTCTCTAGTGGAGCTGCCCCAGGAGTGAGTACCTGTAAGCATAGCCTAATTCACGACCATCTGCCAACCAACCCAGGCGTTGTGCTATCAATTGGATGTGGAATGCCCTCCGCATGGCAGCCTTGTAACGCTCATTCTGGGTCATGAAATAATTGTCCTCACGGCTAAACTCTGGATAACTGTGGATGATGCTCTCTACAGAGGACAGAGAACAGAGGGCTTAGGGACCTGGGGTGAGGTTTCTGGCACCTTCAAATCTTCTCACCCACTTGCCTCATGGATCTGGAAAGTAAATCAGACATTATTGTTATTTTACAGATGACAGAACTGAGGACCAGTGGTGGGAAAGTGAATTGCCCAAGGTTACAAAGCTATGTGGTGGCAGAATTTTAGGACCAGATTCCAGGTTTTCTGCCGCCTAGGACTCTTCTATCCCTCAGGTGGGCTCAGGCAATGTTGGCATGTAAAGACTGTCTTTACAGTTCAAAGGAATGAATCTCTAACAGTGGAATTTCAAGGGCAAAATTTGTTATGTTGAGGCAGGACTGCTAATGAAGGACTCTGACCAGAGAAGCCTGGGGCATAAAGCAGATGTCCCATTCCCCAGCTTCCCCTTACCAACTTTCCTCCGGAGCGCAGTGTTCTGGGCACCTCCATCGAGGATGTTGGTGAGCCGTTCCACGTCAAAGGACTGCATATGTCTCTCGCTCTCTATGTCGGGGTGCATTTGTCTGCTCCAGGTATCCCCCAATGAAACTCGGTGCACTGGGCTGCCCATCCTATCCTGGATCTGTCTGGTGACTGAGGAGACACACTTCCGACCCGGCTGCTCTGAGGGTCTGCTCTGAGCTTGGGCAGTGCAAAAAACCTGTGTGTGAGAGGAACTGCCTAGGGCTGGGTGTCAGCCAGGGCTGGTGGGCAGAAGAAAGACATCCCTAAGTACTTGAATGCCACTCCACTTCCACACTCGCCCTGTGGACGCTGGCTGTGGACCAGGCACTGTGTGCATGGTAGGCATGGTATGCAGTCATTGCCTGGTACCTGTTTGTTCAATACTTGTTAGCCAAGATTGGACAGGGCCTGACCCCAAAGACTGGGCTCTATCCACTGCAGTTTGTGTTACCTGCATTGCCTTGGGCAGTCTTCACAAAAAGTCTGTGAAGGTTACACCTGAAGAAAACAATCCTGGAGAAGTTGAGTGGCCCCTAGCCACGTAGCTGGAGATGGCCAGGAGTTGGATGGGGTCTCACCACAAAGCACACGCCTTGTCCACACTGCAGCTCCACTGTGGAGAATGACTGGGAGCGCCTCGGTGTCATTCAGCTGCTCATAAGTTCTAGGATAATTCAGCCCCATTTCTGTGAGCCCTGCAGGTGTTTTGTGGAACTGAGGGTGGAAGCCTGCTCCCTGCTTGTGAATGTTCCCCTAAAACCCCTGTGTCTTTCATAGCCAGGGCAGGCCCTGCCTCCTTCACAACAAATGCTTGGCCTCTGAGAAGCCCCCATTCCTCCACAGTGAGGCAACCGCGAGGTGCGGTCCATCCTACTTCACAAGTCTCTTGGGTCTATCTGCTCTTGCTGTCTCCTTGGCTAGCACCCAGGCCACTGTTATCTCTTACTTGGCCTCAGTGGCCCTCTTGTCTGTTCTCCCAGGTGCCAGGTGAAGTCATGCAAATCACATTGTTTTCGTCTCCCGCTTGGAGTCTGCTCCTCCTGGCCGCTGCTTGTGGAATGGAGTCCTTGCTGTGTCTACCAGCCTCCCACTCCGCTGCCTCTCTCCTGTGACAAGTTACCGCCCTCATCGCGGGCCTCTCCTCTCTCTTCCTACCCTTTGCTTCTGCTGCTCCCTCTCAGCAAGGTCCAGGTCCAGCTCCATGGCCCCCTGGGTGTTCTTAGTGTCAGGAACAAGTTCTTATTTCCTTACATGTTCCTCCTACAAGGCCCAGGAGGCCAGCTCTGCATTTCCTAGCTCTCAGCAGGCGTCTGTGCGTCTTTCCCGCAGGCTGCCATGCTTTTCATCCCCTTCCTTCCTCACCTCAGCCTGACAGATGCGCTACTGTTATTACCGTTTGATGGAGAGGACGTGGGCCTTGGAAAGGGAGGAGACTTTATAAGACCATGCAGCCACATGTAGCAAGTGAGATTCATATGCAGGCTTTCAAACCAATACCCCTAGCAGGCTGCGGGGGTGCTGGCAAGGGGCCCCCATCCTCTGCCCCCGGAGTCCAGTGCGGCTCTTCTCCACCCGCCTTGCCTCTCCTTGCGCTGCTGCCCCCGCCTCCTTGCTGTTCTGAATGCCCAGGCCTCCCTGCCACTGCCAGCTTTTGCTGGGGCTGCTCCCCCTGCCCAGAACCCCGTTTCTTCAAATCACTATGGCTCTTTGCATTGAGCCTCATTTAACCTGAAAGAGGCCACCCTCTATAAAACCCCACGCGCCCTCCCCAGCGTTCCCTGTCCTCCTCACTCCGCTCTCCTTTTTCTCGTTTCAGTTACCCCCTTCTGACATTCGAGGTCATTTACTCATTTCGTATGTTTTTGTTTGCTTCCGTCTTCCCGCTGCTAACACGGAAACTGCAAGAGGGCCGTGATCTTTGTCACCGTCACGCTGTAACCCTGACACTTAGTGCAGGGCCTGGTTTGCAGGAGGTGCCCAGAAAAGGAAGAGTTGCCCAGGGGCCCCCCGAGCTGCGGACAAGGTCATCGCGAGGGCGCCGCGTCCTCTGGGGTCTCCCCGTCCGTCCCCGCCCCGCAGCCTGGCTCACCTGGCTCCCCTCTGTCCTGGGTTAGGTTGGCCTTTCCGCCTGACTGCAGGCCGCAACGCAGCCTCTGGCAGGCTTGTGGTCCTGCCCTTCTCTCCTCCCACAGAGGGGCTGGAACGCAGCAGCTGAGAGCCCTGTTTGGCCCGCGCTCCGGCTTGCTGAGCTCTGTCCTCCTTCTCTTCCTGCATGGGTGTGACCTCCGCGCCAGGGGCTGGGGCTGCCCCGAGGACTGCTGTGTGTGGAACCCTTCCATCTCAAAGCCAGGAATTTCTGTGTTACTGCTTGTGCCCAAAACTGTGTACCCCAGCAGTGTTTCCAAAGTGATATCCCGGTCTTTGCTGATATTTCATTGTGTGCCCTTCAGGGACTCAGCTGTTAATATCACAGGAGCTTAACAGGCTCCCTCCAGAAGGTCCTTACATGAAAGGGTTGCTCTGTAAGGCATATGATTTTCCTCTCTCCCTGTGTTTCTGCTCTAACATGTGGCTTGTCTTATGCTTAGCATCCCCTGACATTCCCTAGACAAATATTTGTGGAGCATCCATCTGTAGTGTGTGGGATCCAGATGGGAGCCGGTCTTCGGGAGACGGATGAGAGGCTTAGAGGTTCCCTCCCTGCATAACCACTTGGAAAGTCAGATGCAGCTCCCCATTTTGCAGGTAAGGAAACAAGCTCAGGGAGGGGATGTCACTTTGTTCGGGTTTGTACCGTAAATAGATTACGTAACGCATTTGTGTAAGATTGGGAAAGAAATCAGGAGGCCAGTGGGAGATCAAGGCTCCTGTTCTGGCAGGACCTCTGAGCCATGTTGACTCTGAGCAGGGGTCCTCCCTTTCGAGGCCTTGACCTCCCCTATAATGTGAGGTATTTGCTCAATAAGGAACCTCACAGCACCCCATCTATCCCCAAGGTATTGTCTAGCTTGTGTCTGCAGGAGGAGGCAGGATCGGTGGCCCAAGCTTTGAGACTTATTACCTAATAGATCCTCGTGGAGCTGTGGGGCTCAGCTTCCTGGCAGTTCTCATTGCCATGGGCAGTGGTTTCAGGGAAGGTGGCCTTGGCCTCACTGTTTGGAGGTGAAAGTTTTCACTTCTAACTGGATTCACCGCTGCCAAGGAGTTACGCTATCACTGACCATGGCAATGACTTAGTTTCTCTCTGCCATAGAGAAAGGCCTGAATCACAGGAGGTGCCCAGTGAAGAAAGCCTTGTTCAGTGGCCCTTGGAGCAAGGCTTTGTAATAATCTCTCTATGTTTAAATGGTTTTTTCATCCACTTCGAAGCTGACCCTGTTCTGCATGTTTTGGATGTGATCATTTTGAGTTGTTGCACTGAACTCTTGAATTCTCTAGCTTAAAAGGCTTTTTAAATTACAAAATATTTCAGACTTGTACAAAAGTGGAGAGAAAAATATACTGAATCCACACGTGCCTAATACCCAGCACTAACAATGATCACGCATATCTCCTTGTTCTTTGTTTTTAACTTTTTATTTTGAAATAATTTTAGACTTTCAGAAAGTTACACAAAGTTCTTGTATATCCTTCACTCAGCTTCTTCTAAGGTACAATTATGAAACCAAGACATTAACGCTGTTGCAATATTGTTAGCTAATGTTCAGAACTTATTTGAGTGTGTCAGAAGTTCTCCAAGATCAACCTCAGGTCCCGTGATTTTCTAGGAAGACTCACAGAACTTAGAAACTGTTATACTGACCCAGGCACAGTGGCTCATGCCTGTAGTCCCAGTGCTTTGGGAGGCTGAGGTGGGAGGATACTTGAGGCCAGGAGTGTGAGGCCAGTCTGGGCAACATAGCAAGACCCTGTCTCTACCAAAAAAAGATGTAAAAATTAGCTGGGTGCGGTCGTGTGTGCCTATAGTTCTAACTACTTGGGAGATGGGGTGGAAGGATTGCTTGGGCCCAGGAGTTTGAGGCTGCAGTGAGCTGTGATGGAGCCACTATACTCTAGCCTGGGTGACAGAGTGAGACCTTGCCTCTAGAACAAACAAGAAGAAACTGTAATACTCATGAGTACAGTTTGTTACAGCAAAAGTTTACAGATTAAAATCAGTAGAAGAAAAAGGTACATAGTGTCACGTCTCTGAGAGAATGGACTGAGCTTCTAGGTGTCTTCCCCCAGTGGTGTTCTACGGACAGCACTTAATTCTCCCAGCAGTGACAGGCACAATATGCACGAAGTATTGACAACGAGAGATGTGCACTTTTGTGGCAGGAGAACAGCAGAGGGAATTGAAGGTTGGATAAAGGGCGGAATGAGTGAAAGCAGAAGCAAGGTGAAGGGCGAGTGAACAAGAAGCAAGAAAAGAAGCAGAAGTTAAGCAGCCAAATCAAAAGTAAGATAACAAAGTGAGTAAAGAGACCCCATGGCCAGCCAGATGCTGACCAAACCAGTAAGGGGGGCGGGAACAGCTCTCAGAGATGGGCATGCGCATTAGAGAGAAAAAGTTTCCTTAACATGACCCCAGATGATAATCAGCTCATTAAAGCTCATGCATATGAATTGCATATCATGCACGTGGTTGAGATTATGGGATAGAGGTAATGCACAAGTGCACAAGGGCCAAAGTAACTAAGCAACACACCTATCAATCAAAAGGCAGACACTGGCTAGAGATTAGGGAGCCTTGGGAAAAGAAGGGGAAAAAAACCCACATAAAAAGACCACAAGTACATTAAACTGATGCTGATCTCATCTTGCAGAGGTCAGCCCACTCTCCCCTCTTAGAGAGGATAATGCTGTGCTTAATAAATTTTGCTGCTGGCTTTGCCACGTGTGTGTGTCATGTCCAGTTTTTTTGTTTGTTTGTTTTTGAGACAGAGCCCAGGCTGGAGTGCAGTGGTGTGATCCTGGCTCACTGCAACCTCTGCCTCCTGGGTTCAAGTGATTTTCCTGCCTCAGCCTCCTGAGCAGCTGGGATTACAGGCATTTGCCACCATACCTGGCTAAATTTTGTATTTTTAATAGAGACAGGGTTTCACCATGTTGGTCAGGCTGGTCTCGAACTCCTGACCTCAGGTGATCTGCCTGCCTTGGCCTCCCAAAGTGCTGGGATTACAGGCATGAGCCATCGTGCCCAGCCCTGTCCAATTATTTTGCTTGGGAAACCAAGAGCCTGGAACTGCATGGCACCATCCAGTAACACCTTGGTGTTCAGAGTGCAGTCATCACAGAGCCATGGGATGCTGGTGTGGCTGACCTTAGTTACTCAGTCCCCATTGCCTCCAGATGTGAAACTGATAGAGTGTGGCGCAAAGACCCACTCAGAATTACATTATTAGTATAAACTGCCTGGCATGGACCAAGGGCCCAGGTATACAAAGATTCTGTTTTCAGGCAGGATATTCCAAGGGCATAGAAGTTCTCTCTCAGGAGCTGTCAAGGACCAGTCCTTTCTTTGGAGTATGCAGGGTTTGAAATATTGCTGAGTTAACATTTTTCTGCATGTTGAGTTTTGCTAATTTTCCCACTAATGTCCTTTTTCTGGTTTAGGATTGAATCCAGGATCTCACATTGCATTTAGTTGTCCTGTCTACATGAAATGCTATAGTTCCTCAGTCTTTCTTTGTCTCTTATGACCATGATACTTTAAAGAGTACCCAAGGTGTTTTGTAGAATGTCTTTCAATTTGAATTTGTCTGCTGTTTTCTTTTTCTTTTTTTTTTTTTTTTATTTTTACAATAGGATTTGTTTTTTTTTTTTTTTTTTTTGAAAGAAAGAAAGGGAAATAGAAAGGGGGAGAGAGAACAGGAGTCTTGCTCTATTGCCCAGGCTGGAATGCAATCTAAAAGTAGGTATTAAAAACCTTTTTTATGCCTATAATTGTGCTTAACAGCGGAAACAAGAAGGAATAAGGGAAGAAAATAACAAACAGATAGCCAACCAATACATTTAAGTCTGTGAAATACTATGCAAATACTGAAGAGTGTTTTACTTCCAATTATGTGGTCACTTTCAAAATAGGTGTAATACAATACTAAGAAAAATGTATGTTCTGTGGACCTGAGGTAAAGAATTCTATAAATATTCACTGAGTTTACTTGTTCCAGGTCTGACTTCAAATCATAGATGTCCCTGTTAATTTTCTATCTTATTGATCCGTTGAATATTAACAATGTGGTGTCAAAGTCTCCCGCTATTATTGTGCGGGAGTCCAAGTCTCTTTATAAGTCATTAAGAACTTGTCTTACGTATCTGGGTGTTCCTATACT